AGCCGCAGAAAAGCAGCTTCAAAAATGTACTTAAGCTGCATTTTCGTTTTTAGATGTGCCAAGTACTTGTGCATTTGTTCATTTCATTGGCCAGAATATTACGTTATTATGGCCATTGAATTGAACTAACAATGCTCAAGAGCTAAACTCCCCCGGTGCTTAGGCTTGTTTAGACACTTTACACGCATTTAGATGCTTTGGGTATGTTTTATACCCAAAAGTTCCTCGCCTAAATGCAAAATTGGGTGCCTTCAAATTTTGCCCCAAAATGCCCCTGCTTCTAAATTCCTATATATGCCTGGACACATAGACTAACATAGAGGGGTAATTGAGGGCAGAAAAAAAAGTAAAATGCCTGTAAAAAAGGCTTCAGTGTGCATGAGGCCTATCAGTTATATTGTTCTGAAAACTGTAGGATGTTGATGCTATGTACAAGAGGACAGGGGGAGTTTCAAGTAGTCCTGTCCTGTGTCTGTTGTCCTAATGCAGTATAGTGAGTGTTGTCAACCTAGTACAGGAAGTGTATTACTGGCAGGATCACAAGATGAGAATAAAAAAAAAAAACAGAAAAAGAAAACTAAATAAGCCACCATATCTACGGACTGGTATGCTGCAATATATTGTAAATGTGTTTTTGTGTTAGATACGGTTTGAGGTAACTGTATGCCGGTGCGTACAGTGTGAACAAAAACTCCTATGTAAGCAAGTCAAACCAATATAAGCAACGCACCAACAAAGACAATAGCTCTGTCAGGAATTATCTGCTTCCTTGGTAATACAGGTACGCATTCTTTCATTAACCTTAAATACTCAAAAAGGTGAGGAAACAGCAACCGCTCCAGTAGAGGATCTATGAACCTGAAATAAAGGGCCTATGTGTGAATTACATGGAAGCACAATTATTGTACATCATTAGCAATGCATATTATTTCTGTTTGGTGACAGTTTAATTGTACTGGGTAATAAACTTGTGATTAAATGAATCTGATTAATAACCCATAAAAACCCCAGTGACTAAGCGCACTTGCTGGGGTAATACTTTGTACAACATTTCCAAAGGCGTCAAATTCCGTCACAATTAGTAAATCCCATTTCTGAGTACAAATGATAATGTTTTATATATTATATGGTAACTAGTTTTAATGACATAGAACATATGTTGCATTTTCATTGAAAGGTTCAACCCAATAGAGCATATGTAGCATATTTTGCAGTTGGACTAGTTCAAGGAATATGGCGTAGTAGCGCATATTTTCATACTGGCATCCATCTTGTGCATCTGATTGATAAAGGCTAGAGGAAAAGATTAAATTAGCAGTCAGCCTGACTACTGCCTGAATTCTGTTAGCTGCCTAAACACAGCACAGTATACAGAAATAGCACCGTTCACTCCATTGCACTCAGTGAAGGAAAGTGGAAAAATAGGGCTAGACCCGTAAGGTTATCTCACTGGTGTTGCTATCTTAACATATTAATGGCGATGTAAGTGAACTGGTTCATGGGTAGGTAGCTTCTACATCCCAGAGGATCTCCACGGTCTCTATCTCCACGATCTCTTTGGCTTGTAGTATAATGTAACAAGAATGGAAATAAAAGCACCACACCACTACTAAGATGCCCAGACACAACTTTATTCCAATAAAGTCAGCAGTACAATCCAAAAAGTATCCAATGCACTTTGAGAGTTCAAGAAAACTTCTTTCATCAGGGCTTGATTGAAACGAAGTGAACGGACTAGAAGTGAACTGGACCTTGTTGATTTTCGAGTGTGATTGCAAGCACAGGCCTTGTCAGCAGCTGGTTTGGTGACCAAAGGATGCTCTTTGACCCCTAAAACACTTTGAATACTTTTTGGATGGTCCAAAACGTATCCAATGCATTTTGGGGGTTCAAGAAAACTTCTTTCATCAGGGTATTTGCTTGAAACGAAGTAAACGGACTAGAAGTGAACTGGATCTTGTTGATTTTCAAGTGTGATTGCAAGCACAGGCCTTGTCAACAGCTGGTTTGGTGATCAAAGGATGCTCTTTGACCCCTAAAACACTTTGAATACTTTTTGGATGGTCCCTCTGACTTTTATTGGAATAAAGTTGTATTTGGATATCCTACCAGTGGTGTGGCGCTTCATATTTCATTTTTTTTTTACATTACATATTGCACTGAGGACAAACATCCATCACTTCTCATACAATCTCAGAGCTCCCTCCCAGATCTGCACATCCTGGCCAACAGTCTTCATTTTCCCTCATCTATGATAAGAAGCTTCACCCAATCCTTGTACATCATTTCCCTGTTTCACTTATTAGTGGCTTTGTTCACACTAACCTCTGTAATGAGAAAGGATGTGAGGCTACTTCTCACCTCCAGATTTTCTCCTTAAATATAGGTATGGGACAGTTAAATAGGACTTTAGAGAATTTGCTTCCCTGTCAGTCCTGCTTTTTTAAAGAGAACATTGAAGAGATAGATCTGGTGTTTGACATTGCTGTTTTCTCCTTCTGAAAATTCTAGCTGCCTTGCTGTCATGGCAATCTATTAAATACAAAACTTTTAAACCTCTGTATCACATACCTGGTGATGACGGGAATGTTGTGGAGGCCTCACTTGCACCTCCTGCCCAACACTCCTGAAGGTGGAGACAGAGAGTGAAAGGGCACGGAGTGGCACAAGTGCTAGAGTAGCTGACTGGCAAAGTTAGGTGGATGAAGCTGAGAGCCGCAGTCCTCAGGATAAGATGCTGAAGCAGTTTTGCACCAGAGCAGGAGAGGGTAGCAGAGCCGATATGCAGGCAGAGACCAGATACAGCTGGGCAAGAGACAGCAGACAGAGCAAGTTTAGAAAGCAGGCCAAAGTTGGTAACAGCCTGGCAACACAATACACAATCTGAAAACAAAGAGAAGTCCAGTAAACAGGCCGAGGTCAGAGTGATCTGAGGTTAAGGTTGGAGGAAAGGTGAAGTCCAGGGGAAAGCCGTGTGATACACAGGTAAGCAGGTTTTGTTGATCAGGTCTCAGGAATAAAAGTACAAGCTGAAAAACATTCAGCAACTGCAAATAACAACAGACCAGTTTAAATAGGCCAATGGGTGCCAAGTGCGTACACTAATTGTATGCGCGCTTGTGTGTACATGCACAAATGTAAGCATGACTAACTGGAATAGTACATCTAGCATTGCTTCTTAGAAGTATGAACATGTGTCCAATTCACAAATATGAGCATAAGCCACACTGGTTTTCTGTTGTTGGGAATTCGGCTTGCCTTACGCTCTGAAATGGAACATGTATGCAGATCAGAAGTCCTGATTGCATGCTTGCTCATTGAACCTGAGAACCATCAGGATGGTAGACCAGAATTAAGAAGGAGATCAACAAAGGCAGTCTCTGTAATCCTGACAGCTCAGGTTTCCTTAAGTAATGAAAGACATTCTGTGAAGAACCATTCACATGTCTAAAATCCTAGGCCTTGGTCTTCTGATCGTTTGCTGCTGGGGAGGATCAGAGTTCAGCAGGCCAATTAGCTGATCCTCTCCTCTTCATTTGAGATGCCATGATCAAGGTCTAGGTTTATGAACCTACAGAAGCTGATGTGAGTACCAGTAGGTGGTAAACCTGATTGCACCTCTTGCACTTAGCCATATGATGAAGAAGTTGTATCAAAACTCTATACCCTGAAGCCAAATGCAGTTTCAATATTGTAAAATAAGCCCTGAGCTAAAAAATGGACAAGCCAATAAAGAAAGTAACAAGCATAACAAAGTGCTATTATAATACAGACTGCACTGTAATGCTAAATTAAATTTATATGCGTTTTGTCTATAAATAGTATGTAAAGGTACAGAATAATTATAACCCTGCATTCAAAATGTTAACCATGAACAGGATATTTGTCATGGTGACCATGCAAAGCAATGTGTACTTTGGCCTAGTTTGAACAGTCTTTATTGTTATATTTTTGACAGCTGTGGCGAACTCATCATTAAGCAATAAGCAGGCAATGCATAGAAATGGAATATTTTAGAGATAGTTTTGCTGGCATAATTTGCATAAGTGAATTCTCAACACTTGTTTTCATTTTTAAAAAAATGATTTACATATGTATGTACTATGCAAATAAGCATATGCATACAGGGACAATGATCAATAATTAATCTACACTTTTTTAAATAATCTATTAACATCCATAATACTCAATAGTAATTTCTTAAATAAAAAAGTACGTTTTTGGACCACATGAAGAGTTAGGGCTCAACAGAATGGCTCTGGATACCACCTATAGGCATAGGCCTAATTATAATTATATATACTGTTAAATAAATATATAAAATATATATATAAAATATATATATATATTTCACTCTCACAGAAGTGAGTACACCCCTCACATTTTTGTAAATATTTTATCATTTTTTTTCATGTGACAACACTGAAGAAAGACACTTCGTTACAATAAAACTAGTGAGTGTACAGCTTGTATAACATGTAAATTTGCTGTCCCCTCAAAATAACTCAACATACAGCCATTAATGTCTAAACCACTGGCAACAAAAGTGAGTACACCCCTAAGTGAAAATTTCCTAATTGGGCCCAAAGTGTCATTATCTTGTGTGGCCACCATTATTTTCCAGCACTGCCTTAACCCTCTTGGGCATGGAGTTCAACAGAGCTTCACAGGTTGCTACTGTAGTCCTCTTCCACTCCTCCATGATGACATCACGGAGCTGGTGGATGTTAGAGACATTGTGCTCCTCCACCTTCCATTTGAGGATGCCCCACAGATGCTCAATAGAGTTTAGGTCTGGAGACATGCTTGGCCAGTCCATCACCTTTACCCTCAGCTTCTTTAGCAAGGTAGTGGTCGTCTTGGAGGTGCATTTGGGGTCATTATCATGTTGGAATACTGCCCTGCGGCCCAGTTTCCGAAGGGAGGGGATCATGTTCTGCTTCAGTATGTCACAGCACATTTTGGCATTCATGGTTCCCTCAATGAAGTGCCGGCAGCACTCATGCAGCCCCAGGCCATGACATTCCCACCACCATGCTTGACTGTAGGCTCCTCACCTGGTTGCTGCCGCACATGCTTGACACCATCTGAACCAAATAGGTTAATCTTGGTCTCATCAGACCACAGGATATGGTTCCAGTAATCCATAACCCTAGTCTGCTTGTCTTCATCAAACTGTTTGCGGGCTTTCTTGTGCATCATCTTTAGAAGAGGCTTCCTTCTGGGATGACAGCCAAGCAGACCAATTTGATGCAGTGTGCAGCATATGGTCTGAGTGCTGACAGGCTGACCCCCCACCCCCACCCCTTCAACCTCTGCAGCAATGCTGGCAGCACTCATATGTCTATTTCTCAAAGAAAACCTCTGGATATTATGCTGAGCACGTGCACTCAATTTCTTTGGTCAACGATGCCGAGGTCTGTTGTGAGTTGAACCTGTCCTGTTAAACCGCTGTATGTTCTTGGCCACCATGCTGCAGCTCAGTTTCAGGGTCTTGGCAATCTTCCTATAGCCTAGGCCATCTTTATGTAGAGCAACAATTCTTTTTTTCAGATCCTCAGGGAGTTTTTTGTCATGAGGTACCATGTTGAACTTCCAGTGACCAGTATGAGAGAGTGAGAGCGATATCACCAAATTTAACACACCTGCTCCCCATTCACACCTGAGACCTTGTAACACTAATGAGTCACATGACACCGGGGAGGGAAAATCGCTAATTGGACCCATTTTCACTAAGGGGTGAACTCACTTTTTTTGCCAGGGGTTTAGACATTAATGGCTGTGTGTTGAGTTATTTTGAGGGGACAGCACATTTACACTGTTATACAAGCTGTACACTCACTAGTTTACATTGCAGCAAAGTGCCATTTCTTCAGTGTTGTCACATGAAAAAAAAAGATAAAATATTTACAAAAATGTGAGGGGTGTACTCACTTCTGTGAGATACTTTAGTTTAATATATATACACACAGTATATACAGTACTATGCAAATGTTTTAGGCAGGTGTGTGAAAATCTCCAGCGCAAAAAGTACCTTAGTCATCCCAGTAATCACAAGGTAGAGAACCGCTCAGATTGACTCTGTACACTTTTTCTGTGAACGGAGCTGTCTGATCATGGCTTGTTTCACAGCCATTACCAGGTTATCTGCTCACCCAAGGGTTGTTTCTGCTGTGCCATTCAAAAAGCATCACCAATTCAAGTACCAGAATAAGGGGTAGAATCAGGCTGTTTATTGTTTACTTGAGTGTCATTGTTTACAGAGATCACATCTAAAACAAGCCTGGCTGTATGTGGGCATCTTTACCTGTAGACTAATGGACCCTATCTTGATGTTTTTGCTAATTGAAAGATAAATGTTCCATTATCAAAAAGTCTTCAGCTATAGTTTAGTACAACTAAAGCTGACCATTGGTTTTACAGGGCAGCTGATCTCTAGAATCTAGGACTCTAAATATCTAGACAAACTTGGTTAATCTTAATATTTGAATATATAGGAGAAGGATTAGAGCCCCGTTGATCCCTCTTAGTTTGATATTATTATTATTATTATACAGGATTTATATAGAGCCAACAGTTTGCTCAGTGCTTTACAATATAACGGGAGACAATGCAGCAACAATACAGTTCAATACAAGAGAGATAGGAGGGCCCTGCTCCTTGGAGCTTACAATCTAAGAGATATATTATTTGTTTACTTTGTTTAGAGCAAACTGTGGTCTATATGGTCTTTTTTGTAGAAGCTGCCTAGACTCTTCTAAAGTGCTTTTTTTGTGGAAACCCCCAAAAAACTTATTGGCACCCTCTCCTCCTCTCCTGGGCTTGTAAACCCCCTTGGAATAGCAATAACATTAATTAACAATAAATCTAAATAAGCACAAAATAATAAAATACTATTAAAATAAGAATAACTCTAAGGCTACCCTTAATAGTTTACTTTAAGTTGAGGACCTGTAAAGGTTTTTGATGCATTGCCTCTGGATCATATTGGGTATCATAGTTTGTTGCCTTGTCATGGGCACACGCAGTTTTGAGTCTTGACATATTTGGTGTCCATTTTACTCGACTCTGCCTTATCCTTTATATTTTACAGAAAATTTGGGGATTTTATAGTTTCTTAAAAAATTATCACAAATATGTAACAAAAAAAAATTCCAATTGCCTCCATTGTACTTTACTGTATTTAAAAAATATAAAGTGTTTTGGATGTTTAGGTGATCTGCAGGCTTAAATGTGCTTTTAAACATATATGAAAAAATAAATAAATATATATATATATATATATATATATATATATATCCAACAGTGATCAAGTGATTCTGTAACCTGTGAAATAATATATACTCATATGCAGATAATTAATTAATTAATATATGAAATATATTTTTTTTCCGACCCATCCAGTCGTCATCTCAAGTGTTAGAATTTGTCTAGTGATAATTGTTATGTTTCAAAGCACACTGAGAATGTCATACAAATTCATTCAGCTGGTCTGACAATTTGTATCCCTTTATGGAGAGGACAAGGAGATAAAATTAGCTACATGCCTGTCTAATTTTCAAAAGGTCCATCAAACATAAATACATGAAGCCATTAATATACAAGGAATGGTTTGCAGTGTACTCTTTTAAATGAAAGCACATCAGTTCATCTTATCTCAGTCTCTGATATTTTCAACACATTTATTCTATTTATTACAGATATTTATATAGTGAAATAAATCATTCAAAAAATGATGATAGTATAGGAGTTAATATAATTTTTTGTGCCTGTGTGAACGCTTACGACATCCACACTGTAATATTTTTATATAGACCCCAAGTGTATTTTTAAAAGCAACTAGTATATGTATTTGAACCTGACTGACTTGGTATTTGCCTCTTGCAATTCCCTGTACAAAAGAACTCAGACTGGGAGAGGGAGAAGTAGCACAGGGATCCTATCAGTTTGCTTTAACTGCTTCCACGCCGCCCTATTACAGAAACACTAGGGGAAACCCTACCCGTGCTGCCATTCATGGCCTCGGCTGTCAATCATTGGGTCCCGGGGGCGGCGATTCCCCGCTGGCATCCGGCGATCACCGAGTATTACAGTTGGGGTAGAGACCTGTGTATAAACAACACAGATCTCTCATTGCTTACTGCGTTGTACAGAGCAGTGTGCTTACAGTGTAAAGCACACACACTGCACCCAGTAAAAAAAAAAAAAAAAAAGCACACAGTTAACCCTTTGATCGCCCCACGTTAACCCTTTCCTGCCCAGTGACATTAATACAGTGTCAGTGCTTTTTATTAGCACTGATCACTGTATTGGTGTCACTGGGCATGTCAGTGACACCAAGTCAGTTCCCCCCAGTGTCAAAATGACCGGCACAGTGCTGCTATAAGTCACTGATTGCCGCCATTACTAGTAAAAAAACAAACAAACAAAAACATTCCAGTATCTATTTCGCCATTTTGTAAATGCTATAACTTTCTCATAAACCAATTAATTTACACGTATTGTGATTTTTTTTAAGCAAAGAGATGGAGCAGAATACATTTTGGCCTAAATTTATAACAATATCAGATTTTTATAAAATGTTTCCTGGACATGTTTAATAGAAAAAAGTCAAAAATATAATTTTTTTTTTCAAAATTGCTGGTCTTTTTTTTACACACAGGTGATCAAATACCACTGAAGGAAAGCTCTATTTATAGGAAAAAAGGCCTTAAATTTAATTTGGGTGCAGAGCTGCATGACCGCGCAAGTAACACAGTGCCTTTCACAGTAGCACTCCTCCTGGCTCTCTCCTGCACACTCCTGGCACTGTACCACTCCTCCTGACTCTCTCCTTCACACTCCTGTCACAGTAGCACTCTTCCTCCCGGCTCTCTCCTTCACACTCCTGTCACTATAGCACTTCTCCTGACTCTCTCCTGCACACATCCCTGTAGCTCTCTCCTTCACACTCCTGTCACTGTAGCACTCCTCCTGACTCTCTCCTGCACACTCCTGTCACTGTAGCATTCCTCCTCCCGGCTCTCTCCTGCACACTCCTGTCACTGTAGCACTCCTCCTCCTGACTCTCTCCTGCACACTCCTGTCACTGTAGCATTCCTCCTCCCGGCTCTCTCCTGCACACTCTGTCACTGTTAGCACTCCTCCTCTTGGCTCTCTCCTGCACACTCCTGTCACTGTAGCATTCCCACCTCCTGGCTCTCTCCTGCACACACTCACTGTCACTGTAGCACTTCCTCCTCCTGGCTCTCTCCTGCACACTCCTGTCACTGTAGCATTCCTCCTCCTGGCTCTCTCCTGCACACTCCTGTCACTGTAGCATTCTCCTCCTGGCTCTCTCCTGCACACTCCTGTCACTGTAGCATTCCTCCTCCTGGCTCTCTCCTGCACACACTCCTGTCACTGTAGCACTCCTCCTGGCTCTCTCCTGTACACTCACTGTAGCACTCCTCCTCCTGGCTCTCTCCTGCACACTCCTGTCACTGTAGCACTCCTCCTCTTGCTCTCTCCTGCACACTGCTGTCACTGTAGCACTCCTCCTCCTGGCTCTCTCCTGCACACTCCTGTCACTGTAGCATTCCTCCTCCTGGCTCTCTCCTTCACACTGCTATCACTGTAGCATTCCTCCTCCTGGCTCTCTCCTGCACACTCCTGTCTCAGTAGCATTCCTCCTCCTCCTGGCTCTCTCCTTCACACTCCTATCACTGTAGCATTCCTCCTCCTGGCTCTCTCCTGCACACTCCTGTCACTGTAGCACTCCTCCTCCTGACTCTCTCCTGCACACTCCTGGCACTGTAGCACTCCTAACTCTCTCTCTGCACACTCCTGTCACTGTAGTAGCATCCTCCTCCTTGGCTCTTTCCTGCACACTCCTGTCACTGTAGCACTCCTCCTCTTGGCTCTCTCCTGCACACTCCTGGCACTGTAGCACTCCTCCTCTTGGCTCTCTCCTGCACACTCCTGTCACTGTAGCACTCCTCCTCTTGGCTCTCTCCTGCACACTCCTGTCACTGTAGCACTCCTCCTCTTAGCTCTCTCCTGCACACTCCTGTCACTGTAGCACTCCTCCTCTTGGCTCTCTCCTGCACACTCCTGTCACTGTAGCACTCCTCCTCTTGGCTCTCTCCTGCACACTCCTGTCACTGTAGCACTCCTCCTCCTGGCTCTCTCCTTCACACTCCTGCCACTGTAGCACTCCTCCTCCCGACTCTCTCCTGCACACTCCTGTCACAGTAGTACTCCTCCTCCTGGCTCAGTATATTAGTATTGTTAGGTGGTTTGAGCAGAAATGAGCACACAGAAGGTAGGATCTGCTAGACAGTGTAATCACTATGCCAAAGTAACTTAGATTAGAGTCCTGTGCCACTAGACTGGAATCAACTCATAAATCAGTAAAGTCAGCAATAGGCTGTGCTATAAACATTAAAGCGATACTAAAGTTTTGTTTTTTTTTTTCTTAAATAACAAACATGTTATACTTACCTTCTCTGTGGAGTGATTTTGAGCAGAGCAGCCCGGATCCTCTTTTTCTCGGGTCGCCTGCCGACGCTCCTGGCCCCTCCCTCTTGTTGAGTGCCCCCATAGCAAGCAGCTTGCATGGGGGCACTCGAGCAGGCATGCTCCCGACCTGCGGCTCTGCATGTCCATTCACACACAGAGCTGTGGCTTGGCCCCACCCCTTTGCTCTCCTGATTGGCTCACTGGCTGTGATTGACAGTAGCGAGAGCCAATGGCTCCCACTACTGCCTCAGCCAATCAGGAGAAAGTGGACATTGCTGGATCAAGATGGGGCTCAGGTAAGTGTTAGGGGGTTGGGGTGATTGCTACACACAGACATTTTTTCACCTTCATACATAGAATGCATGAAGGTAAAAACCTTGAGCTTTTAGAACCAATTGAACTGTAGTGTGGATAAGAATATTGTAACTGGTTTGAAGTGCACTCTAAGAGAATGGCTAGTATATGAACCAGTGTCTCCTGAGAGGTACACTATATTGCCAAAAGTATTGGAGGTCTGCCTTTACAAGCACATGTACTTTAATGGCATCCCAGTCTAAGTCTGTAGGGTTCAATACTGAGTTGGCCCACCCTTTGCAGCTATAACAGCTTCAACTCTTTTTTGGGAAGGCTGTTCACAAGGTTTAGGAGTGTGTCTATGGGAATGTTTGACCATTCTTCCAGAAGTGCATTTGTAAGGTCAAGCACTGATGTCGGACGAGAAGGCCTGGCTCTCAGTCTCTGCTCTAATTCATCCCAAAGGTGTTCTATCGTTTTCAGGTCAGGACCAGGCAAGTTCCTCCACCCCAAACTCGATCATCCATGTCTTTATGGACCTTGCTTTGTGCACTGGGGCGCTGTCATGTTGGAACAGGAAGGGACCATCCCCAAACTGTTCCCACAAAGTTGGGAGCATGAAATTGTCCAAAATGTCTTGTTATGCTGATGTCTTAAGAGTTCCCTTCACTGGAACTAAGGAGCCAAACCCAAACATTGTAAAACAACCCCACACCATAATCCCCCCTTCACCAAACTTTACACTTGGAACAATGCAGTCAGGCAAGTACCATTCTCCTGGCAACAGCCAAACCCAGACATGTCCATCTGATTGCCAGACAGATAAGCGTGATTCATCACTCCAGACAACATGTCTCCACTGCTCTAGAGTCCAGTGGTCACGTGCTTTAAACCACTGCATCCAAAGCTTTACATTTCACTTGATGCTGTAAGGCTTGGATGCAGCTGCTTGGCCATGGAAACCCATTCCACTAATCTCTCTATGTACTGTTGTGCTAATCTGAAGGCCACACAAAGTTTGGAGGTCTTTAGCTATTGACTCTGCATACAGTTGACGACTTCTGCGCACTGTGTGCTTCAGCATGCACTGACCCTGCTCAGTCATTTTACGTGACCTACCACATCGTGGCTGAGCTGCTGTTGTTCCAGTTGCTTCCACTTTGTTATAATACCACTAACAGTTGTCTGTGGGATATTTAGTAGCAAGGAAATTTCACATATGGACTTATTCTACAGGTGGCAAACTATCACGGTACCACTGAGCTCTTGAGCGTGACCAATTCTTTCACAAATGTTAGTAGAAGCAGTCTGCATGCCTAGGTGTTTGATTTTATATACCTGTGGCCATGGAGGTGATTGAAACATCTGAATCAAATGATTTGGAGGGATGTCCCAATAATTTGGCAACATAGTGTAATTCCTAGCATATGTAATAGTTAAAGGTCTCTGTGTAGCATAACTCTTCAACTGTCTAGTGTTGGGGCTCCGTTGTACTGTTGGTGCACGTGAAAATAGTCCCATCAAGCCTGCAGGCAGCAATAAAGCTACTAGATGGCTGTGTGGTAAGTTCCAAAAGGGCTCAGTCTCTCTAGCAGCAGATAGTAAATACCCATAGCAGCATCTCACCAGTTCCAGCAATATTGGAGCTCACTATCTGGTCACACACAGAGATTAGTCCATTCTCTGCTTAGCACCCAGGTGACTCTGGCTGTCAGCACACCTGAATTTAGTACTCCAGACCCTGCTTGGGACCGCTGATATGCAGCAGTGATGGTGCACATTTGGCAGTGATGTCCTTTCTCTGGTCTACCACATAGCAAGAGAAGCTATGTCCTGTGCAGCCCTGGAAAATGCAGCTCGTTCCCCTCCTTCTGTCAAGCTCCTCTCAGGGGAACGTAGTTCAAAAACTTTTGATTACACAGTAGAGTCTCTCCTTGGGACTACAGTTTCCAAAGTGCAGTGCTTCCTAACTCTTCCTGCTCAGCAGCTCCCTCCTCTTGCTGATATATCCATTAACCGGTTCTGCACCACAGGACAGAAGATACAGAGAGCAGCTACAGCCAGTGTTTCACTCTCATTCTTAGTCAAGCACCTGGCTACAGTATAGGAAATTAAAAGATAACAATAAAAGAAGTTCATATATACTTATATACCAGCAATGACTGCTATAATAATATTAGGTTGGCTACCTATGGGATTTTAAAAGGAGACTGGGAAATATATAGAAACATTTAAAACTGAATATCTCATTTTAACAATTTACATTTAAAATTTAATGTAAATGTAATGTCCCCAGGGGCGGACTGACAACGCATGGGGCCCCCGGGCAATAGGGGATCATGGGGCCCCTGTGTCCTTGCCCAAACTCAAAAAAGCCTATGAAAAAGGTACCAGGGGCATCTCATGGGGCTCCCTACTGACCCTGGGCCCTAGGGCAGTGCCCGAGTTTCCAAATGGTCAGTCTGCCCCTGAATGTCCCATTTCAAAAAGTTCAGTTACACCATTGTCATTTTTGCTTGGTTATCTGTTTTCTAGCATCGCGTCGACCAGTAAAATGACAGGGCCACTTTATTGTTATAGTTTCTTCCGAATACTTTAGAAGCTGTGATAAACTTAAATGATTATAAAGCAATTATTTTGGACAAACACATTATACAACTTGGTTTTCTCAGTTGTGTTAAGGTCTAATCTGTTATGACACTTACATTTTAATCTGGCATAGATTCATATCGCTTTCAAGAAAACGCTATTCCTGCAAGAAAATTGTTTTTCACGTCGAGAGTCCTACCTTGTAATTTAGTTGCAGAGTCTGCTTGAGCTGTTTGTTCCTCTCGAATTGCAAAAATGCGAGTCTGGACGGGCTTGGGTGCTTTCAATGCTTGCTTTTCCCAGCTTAGTCTAATAAAACGTATGTATTGTATTATTCCTGCATAAAATGCTTTTGCATGGTAAGAGGCAATTGAACCTGGAGGTTTCGAACTCAAGAAGAGAAAATGTATAGGAGCGCAATCTGCCATAAATTTGTTTGGAGGACACACTAAAGAATGAACTTATTAACTAGCATAATGGATTGTTTCTGGAAGAGCATTGGTAGTGCTCAGAATATATTGCTATTTTTATATGTGCGTGGCCCTGGACCGAAGCAATAAAGATTTCAGTGGTATACAAATTATAAATCATTATTTGGAACTTCTAGGAGCATGCTCTTTTTTTTCCAAATATATGTACATTAATGTAAGTGCTTAGTAGATATGCCAGATGGAAAGGTTAATATGTGTATATATGTAAAGGATAAATGAAAAGAATAGATTTAAATGGAGACTAGAGTTGTCTCAAAGTTTTGATCTTTTAGTAAAGATAAAAAAGTGAAATGCATATGGTTGGTAGCTGACCTTCCAGGCTGTTCTGTTCTCACTACACGTTTCCCCATGTAAACCCTCCTGTTCTGCAATAAGTCAGACTGAATGTAATCTTGAAGCTTTATTAACAAAACAGTGTGGGTGAAACTATTAGAAATAACAGATGAGAAATACATACAATTAATGTAATGCACATACAAACAACACAATGAATAATTAGGCTATAGATGGCGATAAGTGATTCTCACCAGCGATGCTACCTTTAAGGGATGCAAGTCCTAATCCAACAGGTGCTCTGATAGCTGGCTCCTTCTCTCCCAGTTTCTAAGATGGAGTCTGAGCTCCCAGGATGCATCTCTTTCCTTTTAGAAGTGTGGGACTTTTTATTAACTCGTAACTCTTATCTAAACAGTCTGTAGTTTCTGTAAAACAGTACATTTATAACCAGCTCAATCTTCTGGTTAAATTTGATATTGTAGGCATAATAATTGCCCCTGCTAAAGGCAAAACATGGGTGTTTCTGTTTTTTTTAACCAGTGTAACTGTAGCCAGGGCAGTGGATAAGGGGGTACCACCAATCCTCCTGTACAGGGTCCTGGACAGCAGGGGGACCCAGGCAGCTGGGTCATGTGGGGATGGAGGGTGATTGACATGGCAGAGGGGGACAGGGGCAGAAAATACTGGAATCGATCCCCTTTATGGTTCTCCCTGCAGCAGTTGAAAGATGGTCTTTTCTCCTCTTCCTCCCTGAGACTTTTGGCTGCTTCAAAGAGAACCATACAGGGGATCGGTTAACATAATTGCCCCTCCCTCTCCACTGCACCCACCACCCTCCCTATGCTCTATACATTTCCCTCTGCTGCCCAGGCCCCCCTGTGAGCCCCCCACCTCCGCAGTGCTGCCGACTTTCCTCCTCTACTTCCCAGCAGTAGCTGCAAGCACGGACCCTTCAGGATGGAGAATGGTGGAAAGGTCTGGTAAATATGTCACATATACCAGCCCCCTTCCTTTCCTGAATGAACACAATGAGTGATCAGTACCGATCATTCACTGTGCTTATTCATAAATGAAGCATAGTACACTGGGGTTTTCTTTTGGGGGGAGGGGGGTTGCTCTTCTTAGGTTGGCTGTATGGGGCCCCGTGGTTTATGACAGCAGCCCTGACTGTAGCACATTGGTCTATTTCAGCACTTTGCTGGTAATGTGTTGACGTGGGAACCTCTTAAAGTGTACAATAACCAAATGAATCAAATGTAATATAAGATATATGAAGTTTAGGTATGGACATTTTTCTATAATTACATTGGTTTGACTTGGACCAATGCAAGTATATATGTGGCATACCTTGCAGATCCCCTGGAATCTGAAAATTAGAGTAGTAGGCACCACAGTGATCTCCACTAGCTTCTGTATCCAGTGCCATGCAGCTACTTTGCTACTTAGTGAACACAGGAGGTAACTTGCTTGCCACCTAGACCATTCAGAGAGCACTTTGCATTTTCTCACTGAATGCAAAGTGTTCTCTGATTGGATGAGAGGGAGAGGCAAGATGGTGAACAATCTGACTTTGTTAGGGTCACACTACAGACTCTTATACACTGGTGGCCTGTGTGTGTGTGTGTGTGTATGTGGGGCAGTAAAAACAGGTGGCTACCAGGGGCGGACTGACCATTTGGAAACCCGGGCGCTGCCCGAGGGCACGGGGTCAGTAGGGGGCCCCATGAGATGCCCCTGGTACCTTTTTCATAGGCTTTTTTGAGTTTGGGCAAGAACACAGGGGCCCCATGATCCCCTATTGCCCGGGGGCCCCATGAGTTGTCAGCCCGCCCCTGGTGGCTACTTGTTACTTCCCCCCGAATTCTGTTATGAAACCAATACAGCTGATTCTCAAGCAGCTAATGCTCCTGTACATGTTCCAGCATAGAGATGAGCTTGGGCCAGTAGCCAACATGCACTGACATCTGTGTGTGCCAGAACGCATGAGTGCGCACGTCCACATACATTGGCCCACGCCCAATCCCAGAAATGGCTCCAAGCTGCCTATTTAACTACTTCAATACTGGTTGCTTTCACCCCTTCCTGCCCAGGCCAATTTTCAGATTTCATCACTGTCACGCTTTGAATGACAATTGCGCGGTCGTGCAACACTGTACCCATATTACATTTTTATAATTTTTTCTCACAAATAGAAATTTCTTTTGTGGTGTTTAATCATCACTTTTTGCTAAATAAATGAAAAAAGACAGAAAATTAAATAAAAATAATACAAATGTTTCTTTATCTACTGGACCTTGCTCTGCCTGCTTCCCTGGTACTTACTTCAACCTGCTGCCTGACTACGCTTCCTTCTGCCTTACTGTGTATGATCCTGGGTCACCGTGACTATGTGTCTATCAATGGCAGTCCTCTGATACTAAGCTATTGACAGCTGTGCTTCTGAGTCTTGCACCTCAGTCACCCAATCATGGTTGCTCTGACCAGAGCTGCAAGAAAAGCCCTCCTGCCCAATGTATGTGACACCTGACAGGGCCATACACATGCCATAGCTGCAATGCTTTGCACCATCTGTCAAACTTGGCCATTGATATCGTTGGGGGCCACACTGCAACTGTGAGCCAAATGCTTGTCTTGCAGTTGTGGCACAGCCCTAAACTGTAAAATTTCCTTTTGCTGCAGTACCATCTCTTGAACACTTGTTACACCACCCTCTGAAAAACAATCCACCACGGATTGCTTTTCAGAGGGTGGTAAGCATTAGTAAAGGGCCAAACCCCCTATGTTTGGTTTGCGGTCGAACATTTGACCCTAACGTAGTTCGACCATGCACTTTGAACAGAGGGGGTAATTCACTAAGTGGTATCTTACCACATTTGAGTGTGCCACAAAGCTACTAAAAACATTCTTTAATGTTTCAGCTGTCAGCAGGGCTCCCCTCTGACAGCTGCATGTAAAAAG